GTGATATGCCAATCGTGGTAATGGGCACCCATGGTGGACAGTGTTGGCTGGAGCTTCCCGACTAAATCAAGCCTGGAAGCAGGAGCGGCATCCACTTCTGAAATGGCTTGCCTCCGGAAACTCTATGTACGAACAGTGCTCCGGCTGTTCGTTTATAGGGTCGCTATGAATCATCTACGACTTGACGGCATTAAACAACAACAAACAACATCTTTATTGTCTAGATCATGAAGTTACTTTAAGATTACGTTAGTTTCCAGTAATAAAATGTCTCAGGATAGAGAAGTCAAGATATTTTCAACTAAACAAATCTTATGCTAAAGAGGATGGCATAAAAATTATTACTGAATCTGTACACCAATGTTACAGTAGCATTATTCACCATCGCAAGAACACAGAATCTGCCCAAATGTCTAACCACAATCGAATGGATTGAGAAATTATGATAAATTCACATGATGGAATATTATACAGCATGTAGGAGCAATCATTTTGAAAATCACTACTTAACTTGGGAGGGACTAGAGAGCATTATGCTAAGTGAATTAACTCAGTCCCATAAGAACTTTGCAAAAGACCATTATCGTAGAAGTAGATAACTAGGAAAACATCTATGAGGATCTGAAGGGGAGAAGGTAGGTGCAGAGAGGTGAGGATGGCAGGGGCTTAATCATAGAGCCACACAATTTGATTGGTGGAGGGAGGGGTGGGCAAAGGAAATGGGAAAGATTTGGTGTGGAAAAACAATGTATATGAACTTTGCAAGTTAACCAGACATTTCCTAATCATTCTGAATAACACATTATCATTTCATTTCAGAGATAATTTGACTGATAAAAGGTACTCAGATGTTTGTGGAATGCAGAATTTGTCTCCATTTTCCTATCAAACTTGTATTCTTTTGGAAATAGGGAGCTCTGGTGGCATAGTCCACAGGAAGATGGGCTACAAACCCAAGGTAGTGCCTCTTCGAAGGTTCAAATCTACCAGGGACTTGGAGGAAAGAAAGATAGACAATCTCTTGTGTGATCTGCCCACTTGAGTAAAATAAAAGATAATACTTTCTTTTGGACTTTCTTACAAAGTATTATTTCCAGACGTTTAACCATATCTTCATGTTCCCTGTACTTTAAAAATAATGAACAACATGAGCAAAGACCAAAGATGACAGAAGAAGAATTGATGCCTTTGAGCTGTGGTGCTTGAGAAGAGTTATTTAACAAACCATGGACTGCCAAGAGAATAAACAGGTCTGTCCTGGAGAGGGTGAAACCAAGATATTCCTTGGAGGCAATGATTCTTAAACTTTGCCTCACATACTTTTGGCAGGTAGCCAGGAGGTACCAGTCTTTGGAAAAGGATATCATGTTTGGAAGGGTCATGGGACAGCACAGGAGAGGAAGATCCTACATGAGATGGTATTTACACAGTAACCGAGATAATGAGAGTAGGTGTGTCTAGAGAGTGAGATTGGCTCAGGATAGGCCAGGGTTCAGAGCTATTGTGCATAGGGTCGCTATGAGTCAAAGATGACTGGACAGCACATAACAACAATGATATTTACTGGGTTATTTCTCATCAGTGTTACTATAAGGCTACCTATCACACCTAATTAATCTCACTGCCATCGAGTCAGAACCACTCATAGCTGACCCTTCTGTGGATTTCTGGCTGCAAACTGCAATTCACAATACAAATTTCAAATAACTAGTAATAATCAGTCCTTCTTCCTGTTTCCCCACATACAAATTATGAAGCCTCCAAAGAATTATCTAAGTGTTCTGTTTGTTTTTGCCATAATAACTGTTAAAGTTTCCAGATTACAAAAGAACTCCTGTAGCTCAGTAGTGACACAGTGGTGGCTTGACAGCTAATAGAAGGTCCGCGGTTTGAATTTATCAGCAGAAAAAGACCTGGGCTTCCATTAAGATTACAACTCTGGAGACCCGACGGGGCAGTCCTAACCCAAGAAAATAAATGTGACGGTAGATGGGCGTCTCAGGACAACAGAGAAAGAGTAACAACAGCCATCATGTATGCGATCCCTCGGCCACTCAAGTTCAGGGTCTGGGGTGGTGTGTGCCGGGAGCTACCGAGAAGTAAACAAGGTGCTTCCAGAGCTGAGACTGCAGTTCCGGGCGAGGACAGGGTATGTCGGGGAACCCCAGCCTCTTTAGGGAGGAAAACGGCCCCTAAACTCCTCGGGAGGCACCGAGCTCCATGACGGGACGAGCGGCGAAGGCCCCGCCGAGCCTGAGCTGTGCAGGCGGCCCCGGCTATCAGAACACGCCGACCGCCGGCGTCTCTCCCCGACTAAAGCATGCGGGATCTCAACGCAGCTGTCCTCCGTCCGTCCGTCCACAGCATCCCAAGAGCTCCGGCTTCCGAGGAGAGTGGCCCGCGGAAACCCCAGCGGCCCGGCCGCCTAATGCGCTGGCCCTCGGCCACCCACCTGATGCTCTTTGACCACTTCACTGAGGCAGGGGTACCGCTCCGAGATCCACCGGTAAAACTTGGGGACTCCCATGTCTGCCGTCCACCTCGATCCAGCCAAGGAAAACGAAACCAAACGCCCGCCGGGCCCTGCCGCCGCCTCCGCCGTCGCTTCCCGATGACAACACACCGCCGGCGACCATAGAGAGGCCGCGGCCTAGAGCGGCGGGTGGCCCGGGGCGGAGGCGGG